CTTCGTCTTCTTTCCGAAGAAGTCTTCGACTATTCCGCCGAACAGATGACCTCGGCCAAGACCCGAAATCTCAAGACCACCATGTGTAACGAGTTCTCACAGATCTTCCAGCTATGTCAGGAGATTCTTACCTCGGCAAATCAAGAGAGTCTGGTGAAGGCTACTCTGGAGACGTTGCTACGTTTCTGCAACTGGATCCCGCTGGGATATATCTTCGAGACCAACCTCATCGAGACTTTGCGAACACGATTCCTCGAACTCTCCGAGTTTCGTAACGTTACCTTACAGGTGTTTACTGAGATTGGTGGCTTGGTAACTGGCGGACCTGGACAGCCGAACGCGTATAGTGAGCAGCTGGTTAAGATGTTCGTTGATGTTCTCTCGACCATTTCCGGCATCATCCCCCTAGGTCTCGACCTGAAGAGCACCTATCCTCAGAGTAACACCCGAGACCAGGAGTTCCTCCAGGAGTTGGCACTTTTCCTGTGCAACTTCTTCAGCCAGCATGTTGACGTAGGTTTACCAGTGCTTCTACTGCGAATGATTTCCCACTGACTGTACGTCTAGCTTGTCGAGCATCTCCCAAACCGAGATTTCCTTACTCATGGCCATTTCTACCTAATCCGAATTTCTCAAATTGAAGACCGCGAGATCTTCAAGATCTGTCTGGATTATTGGCTGAAGCTGGTGCAAGAGCTGTACGAGGAGATGCAAGCAGCACCTCTTCAGGAGCTGAACCCGCTCATGCTGGGAAGCGCCTCGACCACTGGGGCTATTAACCCGAGTGTCCTCAACAGCTACCCCTTACGAATGCACAAGTACAAGGAGGTCTTGTCGAATCTTCGAGTTGTCATGATCGAGAAGATGGTACGACCCGAGGAGGTCCTTGTTGTCGAAAACGACGAAGGCGAAATCGTGCGCGAGTTCGTCAAGGAGAGCGATACAGTACAGCTCTACAAGACTATCCGAGAGTGCCTCGTGTACCTAACGCATCTTGACGTCGTGGACACAGAGACCATCATGACCGAGAAGCTTCAGAAGCAGGTTGACGGAACCGAGTGGTCGTGGCACAACTGTAACGTTCTCTGCTGGGCCATCGGTTCAATCTCGCTCGCGATGAACGAAGAGACAGAGAAGCGCTTTTTGGTCACGGTAATTAAGGATCTACTTGGTCTCACGGAAATGAAACGAGGCAAAGACAACAAGGCTGTTGTGGCCAGTAACATTATGTACATTGTTGGCCAGTATCCTCGCTTCTTGAAGGCTCATTGGAAGTTTCTCAAAACGGTGGTTAACAAGCTGTTCGAGTTCATGCATGAGTCCCACGAAGGTCAGTTTTCCCCCTCGATTTTCAAGAGCAGCCGCTAATCGAATTACAGGTGTTCAGGATATGGCGTGTGACACGTTCATCAAGATTGCAAGGCAATGTCGACGACACTTCGTGGCGCTACAACCTAGTGAGAATGAGCCGTTCATTGAAGAGATCGTCAGGAGCTTGCAACGAATTACGTGCGACCTTACGCCTCAACAAGTTCACACATTCTACGAGGCTTGCGGCTACATGGTAGCTGCTCAAGGCAACAAGCACCAGCAGGAACGCCTGCTTGCCGAGCTCATGCAAGCCCCTAATGCTGCGTGGGACGAGATTATCAGAGCAGCTACTCAGGATCCCCAGATTCTGCAGGATGCCGACACGATCAAGATCATCGGGAACATTATGAAGACGAACGTGTCAGCTTGCTCTTCAATCGGATCCTACTTTGGTCCACAGATTGGAAGAATATACCTGGATATGTTGCAGATGTATCGTGCTACGAGCCAGTTGATATCCGAGGCTATCATTCGCGACGGTAACCACACAATCCCCACCGTTGACGATGGTATAAGCTAACTTACTGGAATAGGTGATCTTGCTCCCCGCATGCCCCGGGTCCGAGGTTTGAGAACGATCAAGAAGGAGATCTTGAAGTTGATCGAGAGTTACGTCGATAAGGCCGAGGACTTGCAGGAAATTCGTCAGCAGATGGTCCCACAGCTTCTGGACTCGGTGTTGGTTGACTATAACCGCAACGTCCCAGGCGCTCGAGACGCTGAAGTCTTGAAGGCTATGTCTACTATCATCACGAGACTTACCGTAAGTGATAGTAAACAAAAACACTCGTCTTGGAATGTTGCTAACCATATTTAGGGTCTGATGGAAGATCAAGTGCCGATTATCATGCAGAACGTTTTCGAGTGCACCCTCGAGATGATCAACAAGGACTTCTCAGAATTCCCGGAACACCGAGTAGAGTTCTTCAACCTGCTGCGAGCCATCAACTTGCACTGCTTCCCTGCTCTCTTGAAGTTAGACAACCGCCAATTCAAATTTGTCATCGACGCATGCATGTGGGCCAGCAAGCACGACAACCGAGATGTTGAGAGCGCAGGACTCAACATGTGTCTCGAGCTTGTCACGAACATTGCCGAAAAGACTGATGTACAGACGTCGAATGCCTTCTTCCAACAATTCTTCATCGGCATCTTACAAGATGTGTTCTTTGTACTAACAGATCCTGACCATAAAGCTGGATTCAAGACGCAGTCTATGCTGTTGATGCGAATGTTCTACTTCGTTCTTCCAGCAGATGGTAGTACCCCAAGGATCCAGGGGCCTGTCTATATAGACCAGGCTCCGGCTGGAACTGGCAACAAAGAATTCCTCGCCGAGTTCGTCGGCGGTCTCCTACGTAACGCGTTCCCTAATCTTCAGATGTAAGTACTCTCTTCTCGCAGAGTTTTACCACTACAAAAGCTAACTCAATTTCTAGTGCCCAAATTGGTGCATTCATTGAATGCCTTTTCACCTTGAATGCATCGTACGAGAAATTCCGACTCCAAGTCCGAGATTTCTTGATCTCTCTCAAGGAGTTCGCCGATGACAATGCAGATCTCTTTGTCGTTGAGAAGGAGCAAGAAGCTCGCGACAAGCTTACGGCCGACCACGAGCGACGTGCGAAGGTTGGTGGCTTGCTGAAGCCATCGGAGATCGAGGCAGAGGACGACGAGTTGTGACTTCGCCAAGAATTCAGGAACGAATTTGCTCCTCGGCATGATCCAAGCACAATGGACTCTTCTAAACGATCTTCGGTCGACCACTTTGACGGATGGAATGTCTACGGACTTTGAGATCCGCCCAACATTGCACGGATGAGACCATGAGGCTCCGATTTTATATCTTTCCGTGTCTCTTTGACGCCTCTTGCCTATTCTTTTGTACGTGATACCAAGATAGATGTCGTGGCCTGGAAACTGCGACTATCCAAACGATAACGATGACTATGCCGCTCTGCGGCCGGATGAATCGACGTGGCCTTCTTGCCTTCTCTCTTTTTCGTCCACAATCCAAAATCGACGATGAAACGACAACAGGGGGGTTGGAAAATAGGTACTACAGCCACGGTCGGCTCAGTGAAGGGGGAAAACAAATGAAAAAAGGGGGGAGTGATAATAAGGAAGGGGGGACGAAATGCGTATATCTTCTGACCTGGCGAGGTAGCTGTCGCTTGGCAAGGGGAAGAGATATGTGTTGCCGTTGTGAGTTGATAAGAGGATCAGTAAGAAAGGGAGGTCTAGTCTAGTAGGTGCATCAAAGATGATGGCAAAAAAAAAGTAAGGAAGATATCTGAAGATAGACCGACTAATCATTTGGTCCTACTATATGTTGTTGAACGCAACCTTGGGTGATATGTTCCCTGTTGCTAATTAATACTGGCTCGCTAGTATCAGATGATGAGTAGACGAGGTTATGCTCTCTAAGCACCTGACTGACCGAATATGTGGTTCGTTATTCGATTGGCAATGCTAATGCTGAGTCCTAACTTGACAATGATGGCTTCATTTTATTGTTACCAGTACTCCAGTCTACTGCCATTCAACGGTGTCGTCTTGAGAAACAATAGGTACGTTATTTCCCACGACAGAGTCGGATCGTCTCCGAACCAACCTTACAGTAAGTACCTAAACCCGATGAGAACAAAAGCTGAAACTTTCTTAATAGTGTGAATAATACATACCTAGATAGCCATATTTTCGCTTTTGCCGCCAACGTTGCTCTCGATCCTTTTGGATGTGTTGTTTACAGTGTGTATAGATGCTTGAAGGAGAGGCAAGGTAAATATAAGGAACCATCACAGCGTGGATTTTGAAGATTCATATCCATCCAGGCGAAGAGAGAGGCGTTAGGTTTGTTTCTCATTTGTCATCTTCTATTCGCTTGTTTAGGTACCTTACTCTTCTAACAAGTGGATATACTGTATACAACATCAAGAACTTCAAGGATCTATCGCTCTAGCTTATGATATTTCTAGGAGAGTAGAAGAGTATCGTATCGAAGCAGAGTGACGGAAAGAATCGAGGGTCAGAGGCAAGGCATGTTGATAGCTGAGATGGAAGATTGAAAAAAATGAACCGCCGTTTAGCATGCCAAGAGCGTAACTCGGCCTTAAATAACGTCTTCCACTTTAATGAAGAAGGGAACAGGAGAGACGACAGAAAGCGGGATGAGAAAGTCATGTTTCCCTGGCCCGTCTAGACCGGTCAGTCTACCCCTATAGGTTTCAGGACCTGATCTCTTGTAGAATAGTGTCGTAGGGGCCGTGGACCGGTCCTGTTTGCTTGAGACTGCGCAGTTTCCAGTTACAGGCATAAAGTATTACCATCTCAATATTTGCTTTCGCTATTATCCGAAATCTCTAGGTAAGAAACTGCATAATAGCGGCTATCTGCATCACCAATATAGGATGGTAAGGCGTTTGGCAAAGTTTCATGGCGCAGCGGCAGCGCACTGGTTTCTACAAGCTAGGGGTCCTCTGTTCGAATCAGAGTGAAGCTGGGTATATCCTTTTTTGGCCAATTTCTCTTGTTGTTATGACTATGACAAGCAACTACTTATAGGGCGATGTACTACTGTCGACTTGCATAGGTACCTAACCCACCCACAATCGAGACTTCATACATAGACCTTCATAGCGCAGGGGTAGCGCGCCAGGTTTATAACCTGAAGATCCTCCGTTCGAACCGGAGTGAAGCTGGGTGTCTCTGCTGTCTTTTGAATTCATTTTTGTTTGCTGTATTATGACAAGTCACTACCTATCTACTCATAAGATGATTTACTACTTACCTACATATCAACCATGCGGTTGACGAGAGAGACACACATAGAGCTTCATGGCGCAGTGGCGACGCACCAGTTTTCACAGACTGGAGTCCTCTGTTCGAATCAGAGTGAAGCTGAGTATCTCGTCTTTTTGAATTTATTCTTCTATCTTCTTCCACCGTCTTGTACTCCTACTTACCAGGTGTTTCTAGGTATCGCCGGCGGATGGACATGATTTCCTGCTGTCCTGCTGATAGTCAGTGGCAGATGTGATTAAGACGCCGATGCTCAAGCGAGTATGAGTATAGTTCACCAAGCTCGCTACCATCAAAGTCTCAACGAAGCTGCCAACACTCTGTTTTCAGTCGCCAATCTAATTAAGCCGCGTAAGAGTTACACATAAACAAAGATGACCTAAGAATAGGTACCCAACGTATACCTGAAAAGACCAGATGGGCCGGATTGGCATGGTCTATCGGCATAAGCTTCATTCAGATATATATAGTTATTCGAAAATACCTAAGAGTCTCCCCTCTAACCCTGGCCGCCAGTCCCTGAGGTTCGATTCCTTAGTCGGCTAACACTTATATTATTATTATTTTTTACTTAACAACCCGAGTTTGTCAGGGTATGTCATCTTTCCCCAGGAAAATAGAAAACGTGAACTATCGAAGTCATAGTGACTAAGGGAAGGTACCTAGGTGTATCGAGAACTTGTGACCCCGGGAAATTGTATATTCGTTACTTATTACCTACTGGGCAGCAATGCCAGAGCGAGCCGATAGTCCTTTCTAAGCAGCCATCGGAATTAAGGAAGCTCGTTGACAGCTATTATGAGCTAGGCAATTGGTAAAGCTATGGCCTCTACCTTATGGAGCGACTTGCGCATGTTCTAGTCTTCCATAATAATTTAAAATTGAGGACTGGGTGTTTACATTTACGTAATACGCTTATAACTATAAAGCCATCAACCACTTTAAAGTTGGGAATATATATGCATTTGTTCCACATCCGGCGGAAGGAATGCCTAATGGATGTCGTTGCTTAGGTATCTATGTCCGCCCCGCCTGGTAGGGCCCGGCCGATTCCGGAACGGCCAAACGCGGGGCTTCAGTGGTCCTCCGCGCCCTCTGACGACGACATCTCCGAACTATGCATTGACCTACGCCTTATCAATCAAGGCCCACTGATATATCTACATTCGTTATCTCTCCTACTAGCTGGGGCCGCGATTGTAGTTAACACTAGTTATATTTACGCTTAAGTTGTATTGTCAAGTTCGGTATTCCGGACAGATCGATCACATCTAAAAAGATCAATCTGTACTACTATTATCAAGAATCATGGCGCCCTCCGCGATCACAGAAACCATCTCGGACGTCTTGGTGCTCAAAGGCCTCGATGCCGGCGAACAAGCCCCCGTGGAAGCTGAGAAGGAGAAGACGCCTTTGGAGGCAATCTCGCATGGGATAGTGATGCCGGGCATCCCCACTTTCCCGACTTACACGGAGGAGAGGAAGCACATCCTCGTGCACATGTCCGCTACGTTTCGCTTCTTCGCTCGCAGTGGCTTCACTGAAGGGCAGTCAGGGTAAGCCAGCAGATCCCCTCTCTTATCCGTAGGCAAACTGTAAGCCTCTTTCAGCCGGGCCGGGCGCTGGCTTATACTTATGGCTGCATCTCAGATTCTAAGAATATTTGGCAATACTAATCTCATGACCTGTAGGCACATCTCAGTGCGGGACCCGGAATTCCCAAGTCTCATGTGGATGAACCCGCTCGGGCGCCACTTCGGCATGTTAACGGCGGGCGACATGATCTGCCTAGAAATCGCCACGGGAAAGATCGTGGGCGGCAACACGTCTCGGCCTGCCAACGCCGCGGGCTACCTAATCCACTCCGCCGTCCACAAGCGGCGGCCGAACGACATCCATGCCATGTAAGTATGCCATCGAGATACATCGCTTCCCTACCAAAGTTGGCATGTTCTTGGACATGAAAAATTTGCTAGATGATCCTTCGGTATAGCAAAAGAGCCATCAGGATCATACGCGCCGGGCATGACGATAAGTTGCATATCCTGCTGCATGGGAAATTGATTAGTGAACCTCTGGAAAAGTTGCTAACTGCCGCATGTCAAAAGCTGCCACGCACACTCGAACGCTGGCCGGGCGTGGAGCGCATTCGCGCGGCCCCTGGAGATGCTCAACCAAGGTAGGCAAGCCATTCCGTCGCGTCTCCACATCCCCCATCCTCATCCCCTTGCTGTGTCTGCCCCCAGGCGGAAGCGACTTAACTTACTTCGGAGCTGCTCCGGAGGAGTCGCTTCCTGGTCCTTCTCTGCCCGATCCTCTCTACACCTGGCAAGAAAAAAAGAAAAAAAAGTCCCGCTTCTCCTAGATTCGTTAGAAAATACTACTAACACGGAAAAAACTTTTTCTCGGGATCGCAGACGTGTGCAATTTCCACGACGCGCACGCCGTGTACGCGCGGTACGGCGGCATCGTTTTCGCCGCGGAGGAAGGCGAGCACATCGCCGAGGCGCTCGGCGCTAAGAACAAGGGCGTCATCCTCATGAACCACGGGCTGCTGACGGTGGGCGCGACGGTGGACGAGGCCGGCTTCATGTTCGGGCTCATGGACCGCGCGTGCGCGATGCAGCTGCAGGTCGAGGCGGCGGCCGCCAACGGCCTCCCCAAGCACGTCATCAGCGACGACGAGGCCGCCTACAACTTCAAGATGGCGAGCGAGGCCAACGCGCTGTACCGCGAAGCCCAGCCGGACCTCGAGTACGAGCTCGAGGTTGCCGGCGGCGAGGATGCGCTCGCTAGGGGGTTCGAGAACCTGCGCGTGGTAGCGCTGTAGGCGTACGTAACGGCACGGCACGGTTTGGAACGCCGCGATTGTACATAACATAACATGAACTCGTAAGCGCGCCGTCGGACATCACTCCTATCATCTGCCTTATCTTTCGTAGGCGCGCTGCCGTGATAGGCGCGGGAAACATATGCCCGCCAATCACCACCCATAGTTTGGATCATCTAAGGTAGCATAATCGACGTAAATTAAAAAAAAAAAGGAGTCTCGGTTAAGACATTTTCGCAGAATCTTGGCAGTACTCAGCTATCTAGGTGTACATTCTCTAGCTAGCCGGGGTCGCCGTGGACGGAAGTAACCCTTCATAAGGACCACTGCAGGGCAGGAAGGGAGGTAGGATTTCTAAAAATTGAAGCGAACCCATGGAATGGCAGGCGATGATGCAAGGCGGACGAAAGCAAAAAAAGAGATTTCTCTTCATTTGCGCTCACTGCCGATGGTGTTCGAACCACAAAAGGTCTAGCGCTGGAACGGGGAGATGACGGGAGCATCCCGCGACTCTGTCAGGGACGGGCCGCAGGGTTGCGAGCAAGGGTTGGTGTCGTAGTGATGCGAGCAAGACAAGCATCGGGGATCGCCCGATGATCGAAAGGTAAGTCATGCCTCGACGTAGGTTGTCCACCAACGACGTGCCATTCTCTTTACGCCTCCATCATACACCAACTTACCTTCCTCTCTGGCCAAGCTTATAAATAAAATAAATTCCCGGCTGCAGATCAGAGTCGCGTTGGGGGCTGTTGATTTAACGCCGATGTTTCACACCCAAAACCAAGAACCGAGCAAAGTTCTCACCGAGATGAAGCTACCGTAGCAGTAGGGATAGCCTAGGCGCTGCCTCCCCTCTGCGCGCATTTTGCACATATGGTGAATACGACGTCGATGGACAGTGGCTCCTACTTCGGGGAGGCAAGCTCTTCGTTCTCGGCCCCCCGGAATCTTGCTGCAATCTGCGCTGCTGCACTGCACTGCGATCCCGGAATGTCACTTAATGATGGGATCGAATCCTGGCAATGAACCGCTCGAGCGAGATCTGTAACCTTACCTAGATCAATACAACGGCGAACCTCAAACGTACCTGGTCAAACATTTTCGTATTGTATGTAGTTTAGACCAGTACAGGGACGCTCATTTTCGCTGTATCGATCTAGCAATTTCGTATGCGAGGCGAGGGCTCGTGCGGTTGTCATGTCCCCTTTTTAGAAAAAATAAGCACACTATCTGCGCCTATCTGATTTCGTGCAGGATTTTCTGACGAGATCAGGGATGTCGTACCTGACAGATCGACAACCACAGTAGTTCGCTCGCCGGTCCTCGGCCGTTCATCCGCAGCCTGACCGGTAGACTATCTACTAGCGAGCTGCTTCTTTGATTACGAAGTTGTCGCACAACAGCGAGCGATAAGCCCATTCTCGGACGATCTTGCATGAAGACGCTCGGCTTGACGCAGCGCTGGATAGATGGGACTACATAAGCGAAACTTTCGACTGCAGTACAGTAAATGATAAGCCGTTGGCCTGGTCATGCGACTGTGTCGGGCGAATAGGTGTGGCTGCAGTCAAGCTGTCCCACTCCTTATTGAATGAAGCCCAAAGCTGGGGGTATGTAGGGTGCGGCTCTGAATGACCCCCAAACAAGTTTGCTCCCCCCCACCACTTTGTGATTCGTTTCTGGCTGATAGAATCCCTTGATCTAGATCCAGGTGTATACGTAAATGGGCCAGAACTCGTCAAGATCGTGATGCAATATGCACGTTCTATATCGGCTTAGCACTTGCGTTTCTAGATGAGCTTGGAATGCGACGATGCAACGGCTTGTGCCCAGAACACAGACGCCCCGATGGGAGAATTTCGGCAATAGCTTGCCAAGTTGGTTATTGTTTTCGAAGGCGTCCAAGCACACTTCGTTACGAATCCCTGCACTGTGCGAAGCCACTGAAGGAACCATGGCGATAACAGATAGGACTCGGGAGTCGGCCTAGGTCTCGTGAGTCACCTTAAACCGAATTCAGGCTCAACTGGGACCACCCATGTATTGAATCAATATTCGATAGCTGAATATCAAGATAGAATGAGCTCCATCATGGTCCACCATAGAGTATCTGAGTACGTGCCAGGATAGGCAAGATGCCTGGCAGCATCGACCAGTTATCCACTCACGGTGAAAAAATCCATACCTACCTAAATGAGTCAGTCACCTGTCGTAGAACTGTGATTCCCGTTTCCGTCTTCGCTAGGGCCAACTTGAAGATGCCAAGCTTAGC